GCTTAATGCTGAACATAATGAAAACAAAAAGAAGGACCACAGGGAACTTGCACACACGTTCATACTAGACAATGGGGAAATACAAATAGTAAAAGAGTTCTCATATCTGAGATCCAACATTGATAGAAATGGAGACTGCAGTCAGGAAATCAGAAGAAGACTAATATAACTGTAAAAACCAGAGTGGTGCAGTAGTTTGAGCATCGGACTACAACTCTGGAGTCCAGGGTTCGAATCCCCGCTGGGCAAGTCACACTCTCTCAGCCTCAGGGGAAGACGACAATGGCAAACCTCTGAACAAACCTTGCCAAGAAAACCCCATGATGGGTTCACTTTAGGGTCTCCATAAGTCGGAAACGACTTGTAGACCCACACAACAACAAACAACAAACAAACAAACAACAGCAGCAGCAAGGAGTGCCTCCCTCCCTTCCTGATCTCGCCCCTTTTGTTTTCAGGTTCTGGATCTCTCCCCCTTCCCTTGATGCGCGATCGTACCGGGATCCACAGAGCTGGGCTCTCCGTCTGCAGCAACTGCAGCTCCCATCATCCAGAGGATGGCGATGCAAAGGGACAGAGTCCTCGTCCGATCCATGATGGTGCGGTGGAAAAGGGCTTCAGGGAGGGAAAGGAGGGCGAGGAGGGATCTTTTAAGCTCTCGCGATCCTCGGGGCTGGAGGGACCTCAAGCTCCACCTAGAAATTGGGGAGAGAAAGGAGGAAAAGAGGGGAGGAGGAGGAAGAAGGACATTCCCCTCCATCCATCTTTTCTTCCTTCTTCCCCCTCCAGCCCCACAAAGCCAAGAATATATATATTAGATTTATTAGATATATATATTACTGTATATCTATTGCAAGAATGACATTCCGCTCTTCTTTGTTCGTTTCGCCTTTTTTTCTCAATGGAAGGCCGTGGGAAAGCAGCTCTCTCTCTCTCTCTCCCCCTCGTCCAATCAAAAGGCAGCGCGAGGAAGCGGCCGTCCAATCAGGAGAGGTTTCTTCCCTCTGCGGGCCAATCAAGAGTCTGGAAAGTTCGGGACGGCGTGAGAAAGTTGTAGAACTGGAAGGGAAAGGGATTGATGTTGGTTTGCTGCCTTAAAGGTTGTGACTGCACTGCAGAATTAACCCAGTTTGATACCGCTTTAACAGCCATGGCTCCATGCTATGGAACTCTGGGATTTGTAGTTTGGAGAGGCATTTTAGACTTCTCTGTCATGTCAAACTCCAAATCCTAGGACCGAGAGAAATCCTTGGATTTGTAGTTTGTGGTGGCACCAGTCCAGAGCACTCTGACACAGAAGGTTAAATGTCTACCCAGAATGTGCCTTGGCAGGTAAAGAGGTATCAAACTGCATTAATTCTGCAGTGCGGACGCAGCCTTAACATCATCCATTTCCCTCCCAATTTCTCACGTCGCCCCGATCCAGTTTGATACCACTTTACCCCATGACTCGATACTATGGGATTCTGGGAATTGTGTGAAACGTACTGGGTGAGCTTGGGCCGAGTCACACTCTCTCAGCCTCAGGGGAAGGCAAAAGCAAACCTCCTCTG